GAGGAGTGACTGGGACAGAATCTGGCTCCCCAACTGGGACTAGAACCCAGGGTGCCAGCGCCACAGGAGGAGGATTAGCCTAGTGAGCCCCGGCACCGGCCTTGGCTAGTTTTAAACTACATAACTGTAAATACACAGTTCAATAAAAGGAATATGCTGTGTTCTGCAGTTTCACTCTGCCCATTATTGTCATTATTATTATTATTATTAGTGTAATTTTACAATTATCACTAGAAGTCAGTTTCTAGAGAGAGGAAGTGTTAAGAAATGACCTCCTCCCAGTACCAAGTATGCTACACCCCTGACGACTCACGTCTTTCTGCTCTTCCTGTTCCTGCAAGTGACTTTCTTATTTGGGAATTCCTGCTCCTATTTTTGAGACCCAGTTCACCTGTCACCTCCTCTGTAATACTTTTCCTACTCAATCTCACACAAATGGTTAACTGTCCTCTCTCTTTGGCCTTTAGTAGTCATTGTACACTTGTCTATCCTTGCATGGGAAGCCCTGAAGTTTGGTTATTTATTTGTAAGTATCTCTGCTGCTACAGAGAGTGAGTTAATCAGAAGCAGAGATCATAACTCCTGTCTTAATGCAAGTTTCACCGGTTCCTAGCCTAACCCCTGGCCTATGATGTATGCTAAATAATCACCCTTGGAATGAAGGAAGAAGAATGACATGGCGTTTAACAACTATTAAATCGGGCTTGGCTTGGGTACTGTGTTATTCATGCAACTTTTTAATTTTTTGTGTCCTATTTTCTCAACAGCACCACATTCCTTTACCCTCCCCACAACTCCAGCCCCACACCCCTAGATTGCTGCTGCTTGCACCCCAACATACACTCCAGCACGAAGGTGGTAGCAGGTGGAGCAGGCAGCGGGGAGACAAGCATGGGAGAGGGTGGGGAGGAGGTGGATTCTGCAGTGCACCCTTGCAGAAACTGCACAGTGGACCTTCAAACTCTGCACTGTTTTCTGAGAACTTCAGCTTGTGGAGAGTTTAAAAGTTATTTGTGAGTGAAGTGTTACCCACTCTCCCAACCATCCAGTAAGTTGAGAATAATCTGAAGAGAGAAAGTCTAAATTAACTTTTCCTAGTGACTCCATTCACTACATTAGCTCTGTGTTATTTGAAAACCTACTGTGGCCTGGCAGTATCATAGGGTCAATGGAAAATACACGGAAAAGGTGCATGGTCATTGCAGAAAAACTAGAACATTCAAATAGCTGGAAATAAGTTTAAACATGCTGAATCCCATTGTCTGTTGATAATTGTCATTATGACTGTGAAACATCTTTTCTTTGTCTCTTTGTTATACGTGTATTCTATACAAAGGGAAGCATTGTTTACATCTGTTTTATGTCTTGATTTTTTTCATATAATAATAAATCAACAGCATCTTTCCATGGCATTATATGTGCTTTACAGTATTATATGTAAGAGCTGACCTGTATTGCCCTTACAGTTATTTTGTAATTTATTTAACCTTACATTCTATTATTGGATATGGAAGTTGGTTTTAAATTTATTCACATTATAAATAATAATACTTATGATTTTTTTAAAGATTTATTTATTTATTTGAAAGGCAGAGTTACAGGGAGGCAGAGGCAGAGAGAGAGACAGAGAGAGAGAGAGAGAGACAGACAGAGAGATTGGTCTTCTATCTGCTGGTTCACTCCCCAGATGGCTGCAACGGCTGGAGCTGGGCAGATCTGAAGCCAGGAACCAGGAGCTTCTTCCGGGTCTCCCATGCAGGTGCAAGGGCCCGAGCACTTGGGCCATCTTGCATTGCTTTCCCAGGCCATAACAGAGAGCTGGATCAGAAGTGTGGCAGCCAGGACTCAAACCGGCTCCCATATGGGATGCCGGCACTGCAGGTGGCAGCTTTACCCACTACACCATGGTGCCAGCCTCACTTATGCTGCTTATAATAACAGATGAATCATTGAACAAATGCATGACCATATCCTCAAGATAAACGTCTGGAAGTACAACTGCTGGGTCAAAAGGTGAGAACGCATGTGACAGACTTCCTGATGAAAATGGCTCACAAGGATTTGTTCCTCATTTGGAGTTAAAGATCTCCAGTGTTGCTCCCATCCCCAGTGAAGTCCCAAAGGGCCAAAGTGTTCCTTCTTACTATTCTGCCATCTTTGGTGTATTGGCAATGTCCACTCTCACAAGTAATGACAGATGCCACAGTATGGATTCCTGGTATAATCCAAGCAGGAAGGAAGGAGGCAGTGGCCAAGGTCTTTCCCTGATACCATCCTGTATGCTAATAAGGAGGAAGAGCCTACATACGTGCTCCCAACAGATGTTCTATTATGTGGCATTAGCCTGATCTGGCTTGTGTGCCATCCTTGAACCAACAGTGGTGAAAGGGGACGACGGAATTGCCCTCACTCATCTCAGCTTTGACTCATCACCAGGGGTGTGGCAGAAACTGTGTGAACCCAACTAGGTTCCTCAAACACAGAGGGGAAGGATGGGCTCCAGCCACACCCCAGTGCCACTGGGAGTGTGCAGGAAGCCCAGATGTTCCTGTAACCTGCACTGGGACTCAGTAAAATTTTTAATTTACTGCTGTGTACCCAGGGTCTAACAGACATGTGGTAGGTAATTAGTGCAATGTTAGTTCAGTAAAATCATCCCTGGGTACCTTTTTTTTTTTAAATTTTTTTAAAAAATTTTTTGACAGGCAGAGTGGACAGTGAGACAGAGAGACAGAGAGAAAGGTCTTCCTTTTGCCTTTGGTTCACCCTCCAATGGCCACCAAGGCCGGTGCGCTGTGGCCGGCGCATCGTGCTGATCCGAAGGCAGCAGCCAGGTACTTCTCCTGGTCTCCCATGGGGTGCAGGGCCCAAGCACTCGGGCCATCCTCCACTGCTCTCCTGGGCCATAGTAGAGAGAGAGCTGGACTGGAAGAGGGGCAACCGGGACAGAATCCGGCACCCCGACCAGCACTAGAACCCAGTGTGCCGGTGCCGCAGGTGGAGGATTAGCCTATTGAACCGCGGCGCCGGCCCTGGGTACCTTTTTAAGAACTATTCAAGAGAAGGGCTCTGGGGCTCCCCCCATAGCTCTTTTTTTTTTTTTTTTTTTAATATCAAAAAAATATTTTAATTGTTCAGGTATAGAAGGTCCCTTCGGAGGCAGGTACTGTGCCAAGCACTTTGGTGAACAGAGACATGGTCCTTGCACTTTCTGGTTTGGCAGATTGCGGACCAACCATCATTTGAGGTTTAAATGGTTTGGTTAGTTAGAGGAGAAAAACCTATGCATAACCCACAAATAATTCAATGGTTTATCTGAATAACAGTGAAAATGCAGTCTCGAAGTCTAGAATACAAAACCTTCATCCATGTTTTACTTCCAAGTCATTCTGAACTGTGGGGTAGATCAGAGAGAAAACAAGCTGGGGTTGTTGCCTACGCTGTTCACGTGAATGCTGTATACTACCCGTTGGTGTCTCCATTTGGAGTAAACGGACACAGTACCTCCATCATTTCAAACAGCATTCACGTGAACAGCGTAGGCAACAACCCCCCATAGCTCTTGTGACTTCCTGAGTTGAGCTGAGTTAGAACTTAGGTTCTGCTATAGCCTCATGCACTGAAATCCTGCTCAAAGCCGGATTTCCAGCTCTCAACCAGGTAGCGTGAAAAATTTTAAATATACTGAAAAGTTGACAGAAAAATGTGACCACCTCTTACGCGCTTTCATATGTAATCATGGTTAATATTTCATCATATCTGCTTAGTCTACACATATGCAGAATATTTGTGTGACATGATCCTCCTAATTAAGTAAAATATTCATATCTAGCTACACATATAAAATATATAAACATTTATGATATAAATATAATGTGGCAGAGCGGTTTAAGCCTCTGCCATATTTAAATGTGAAATACATCTCCTCAAAATATTTATATTAGTCAACATAGCTGCAAAACCATCCAAAGCAAGAATTTTTAAAGTTTTTTTCTAAGATTCAATCCATATTCAAATTTTCTCACGCATCCCCTAAATGTCTTTTACACAGTTTTGAACCAAGATCCAATCAAAGACCATAATTGTGTATTGGTCCAATTTCCACTGCTGTCAGAGAAGTACTCTAGGCTGCATACATTATAAGAAAAGGGGCTTATTGAGCTCAGGTTTTGGAATCTGAAGGCTCAAACAGCACGGGGTGGCTCTTGTGTGAGCCCTGCTGGCTGTGTCATATCCCAGTAGGTGGCATTACCACAGAAAACATGCTTGGGAGGGAGAGGTCGGGTAGTGAGAGAAGAGGCCAGAGCACGGAAAGTGGCCAGCTTTGAAAATAAATTATAGGGACTGGCACTGTGTCCTAGCAGGTAAAGCCTCCACCTGCAGTGCCGCCATCCTATATAGGCACCAGTTCATGTCTTGGCTGGTCCACTTCCCATCCAGCTCTCTGCTATGGCCTGGGAAAGCAGCAGAAGATGGCCCAAGTCTTTGGGCCCCTACACCCGCATGGGAGACGTGGAAGAAGCTCCTGGCTCCTGGCTTCGGATCGGCGCAGCTCTGGCTCTTGCAGCCAACTGGGGAGTGATCCAGAGGTTGGAAAACCTCTCTCTCTGCCTCTCATCTCTCTGTGTAACTCTGACCTTCAAATAAATAAATAAATCTTAAAACAAGAAAATAGGCTGGCGCCGCGGCTCACTTGGCTAATCCTCTGCCTGCGGCGCCGGCACCCCGGGTTCTAGTCCTGGTTGGGGCACCGGATTCTGTCCCGGTTGCTCCTCTTCCAGTCCAGCTCTCTGCTGTAGCCCGATTAGGCTGTGGAGGATGGCCCAAGTGCTTGGCCCCTGCATCCGCATGGGAGACCAGGAGGGGGCACCTGGCTCCTGGCTTTGCATCAGCACAGTGCACCTGCTGTAGCAGCCACTTGGGGAATGAACCAACAGAAGGAAGACCTTTCTCTCTGTCTCTCTCTCTCTCTCTGTCTAACTCTGCCTGTCAAAAAAAAAAAAAAAAAAAAAAAAAGAAAAGAAAGAAAGAAAATAAATTATGAAAACTCTTGAGAGAACAGCCTGATTTGGTGAGACCAGTATCAATCTCTTTTGAGGACAGTGTCCCCATGACATAGCCACTTCCCGCAGAGCCTCTCCTCTTAAAGACCCCACATTGTGACCACCTGGAGGACCAAGCCTCCAAAACATGAATCTCTGGGTGGTGGGTGTAATAAATCACATGAAAATCATAGCACACACTGGGGCTGGTGTTGTGGCACAGTGGGTTCAGCATCTGCCTGGGATGCTGGCATCCCACATGAGGGCTGGTTTGAGTTCTGGCTGCTTCACTTCTGATTCAGTTCCCTGCTAATGCACCTGGGAAAGAAGCAGAGGATGGCTTGAATACCTGGGCCCCAGCCACCTGTGTGAGAGACCTGGATGGAGTTCCAGGCTGCTGGCTTTGGTGTGGGCCAGCCTAGCAGTTGCAGTCATTTGAGGAGTGAACCAGCAGATGCAAGATTCTCTCTCTCTCTTCCTTCTCTTTCTATAACTTTGCCTTTCAAATTAACAAATAAATCTTAAAAATTGTCTTAAAAATCATAGCACACTGCTGTTTCTCTAATCTCTTTTATACCACAATAGTCTCCCCACAGTTTTATCCTATGGCAGTCACTTTTGAAGATGCTACCCCAGTGGTCTTACAGAATGTCCCACATTCTAGATCTGTCTATATTCTTGGAGGTATCATTTAACTGCTTTCTCAATCCCTAGCATTTTCTTTCTTTCTTTTTTTAAGATTTCTTTATTTATTTGAAAGGCAGATTTACAGAGGGGCAGAGGCAGAGAGAGAGAGAGAGAGAGGTCTTCCATCAGTTGGTTCAGTCCCCAAATAGCATTGATGGCCAGGGCTGAGTCAGGCTGAATTCAGGAGCCAGGAGCTTCTACCAGATCTTCCACGTAGCTGCAGGGGCCCAAGGACTTGGGCCATCTTTTACTGCTTTCCCAGGCCATAGCAGAGAAATGGATAAGAAGTGGAGCAGCCGGGATTTGAGCCAGCACCCATATGGAGTGCCGGTACTGCAGGGGGCAGATATACCTGCTACACCACAGCGCCAGCCCCAAGTATTTTTTATTAACTGATTAGATGTAGGTTAAACAGTTTTGGCAAGAACAGGTGACACTGTGGTTTTCTTGTTGTATTGTATGAGGGATCTCATAGTAGGTTGTCCTATTATTGGCGATGGTGTATTTGTTAAATTTTATCTGCTAAGAAGAGCATCCATAACAATCCTTTCTCATACAGTCCACAAAGAACTATCAAGAAAAATCTTTCTATATATCATGGACTTTTGCTTACAGTCTAGGCATGATAGAGTGGATTATAGTAGAACACAGAAAAGGAAATAGCTTAAAATTGGGTATTATTTTTGGAGGGTGGTGACAGAATTCAAAGTGATCATATTCCCCTCCTTTCTCACATTTCGTGTTGCAACCAATTAAGGCCATTTATATCATGAAAACAAAACAAAAGCTGAATATTAGGTGATATACCCAGGTATCGTTAACTGGCAATCTTTCTCTCTAGATATCATTATGGCCAGACTGTGTGATCATGAGCTCTTGTTTTTTTTTTTTGTTTTTGTTTTTTTGTTTTTTTTTCTTCTCAGTTTAAGAGCTCTATGAACCCTTCCTTTCCTGTTTTCTCTGAAAATTTGAAATCCCCCCTTGGAAAGCAAAAAACCAAGTTGCTTTGCCATTGTTGCTCCTGGACAACGATCAATGGGTTTTACCTTCATCATCAGAACAACTTATCAAGGTGTTGTCCTAACAAAGGTCCATTAATTCTAACATCTCATCCATAGCAACAAAAAGTTATCAGAAGACTTGAAATTTTAGTATTTCTTGGAAGTACATTAATCATTTTTGAATAGTTAACATAGGTATATGTTTAAAATTTTTAAATGTCTGAGTATGTTTGTACTGTAAAACAAGCCTCTCCCAAACCAGCATCTCTATTTCTTTCCCCAGGGACAACTATTGTTATTTTTTATTCTTAAGACATTTATTTATTTGAAAGGCAGAGTAACAGAGAGAAAGAGGGAGAAACAGAGAGAGAAAGAGAGAGATCTTCCATCTACTGGTTCGCTCTCCAAATGGCTGCAACAACTAGATCTGGGTCAGGCTGAATCCAGAGGCCAGGAACTCCATCTGGGTTTCCCATGTGAGTGGCAGGGGCCCAAGCACCTGGGCCACCCTCCACAGCCTTCCTAGGTGCATTAGCAGGGAGCTGGATCAGAAGTGGAGCTGCTGGGACTCGACCTGGCCTTCTGATAGGGGAAGCTGGTGTCACCAGTTGTTTCATAACACCAGCACCTATTAATAGTTTTAAATGTCTTTTTTTAGAAGTATTTTATGCATATATAAACTATGTCTATAAAATTCTTTTTTGTATATAAACATTATTTACTATGCATCCTGTCCTACGGCTTTTCTTCTTTTTTTAAAAGATTTATTTTATTTATTTGAAAGGCAGAGTTACAGAGAGAGGAAGGGACAGAGAGAGAGAGAGAGGTGTTCCATTTGCTGTTTCACTCCCCAAATGACCAATGGCTGGAGCTGAGCTGAGCTGATCTGAAACCAGGAGCCAGGAGCTTCTGGGTCTCCCTCATGGGTGAGGGGGCCCAAGGATTTGGGCCATCCTCCGCTGCTTTCCCAGGTGCATTAGCAGGGAGCTGGATTGGAAGTGGAGTACCAGGACTGGAGCCGGCGCCCACATGGCATGCTGACGCTGCTGGTTGGGGTTTTAACCTGCTATGCCACAGTCCTGACCTTGCTTTTTCTTTTAAAGATTTATTTATTTGAAAGGCAGGGTTTGAGAGAGAGAGAGAGAGAGAGAGAGAGAGAGATCTTCCATTTGCTGGTTCATTCCCCAAGTGGCAGCAATGGCCTGGGCTGGGCCAGGCCAAAGCCAGGAGCCTGAAACTCTGAGTCTCCCATGTGTGTGCCATGGGTCCAAGCACTTGGGCTCTCTTCTGCTGCTTTCCTGGGTGTGTTAGCTAAGAGTTGGATTGTGGGACTCTAATAGATGTTCATATGGCATGGCAGCATTGCAGGCGGTGGCTCAACTCACTGTGCCACAGTGCCAGCCCCCTTGCTTTTCCCCTTAAACTTAATATAGAGACTGTTCATATGGGCACAAGTAGAACTGATTTTTTTCTCCAATTTGATACTGCGTAGTATTCTATTCCATTGTTTATGTACCATAATTTGTTTACTCAGTTCTCTATTTTTGTCATTTATGATGTTCATGATATTTTGCTTTAAAAAAGTGATTTAGTGAATATCCCTTTTCACATATACAATTATATCTATAGAATTAGTCCTAAAAATGGAACAGCTGGGTTGTATTGGGAAGCCGTTGTCTATGGGTTTCTCACATTCCTCTGTCTTGTGAGAAGTGGCCCTGACAGTGCTGAATTATCTTCTGAAGCAAAGGCAAGATTTGCTTATTTTCCTGTATAATAAACATAGCATCTCCCTCTAGAGCAATGGCCATCCTAAGCTGGGATTCTTCTGTAATGCAACTCAGTGCTGTGTGGGTCTTTGGGGTCTACCTCTCCTACAGTTCTGTATTCCCAGATAGCCTACTAAGTAGTTCAACTACTTGATAAAATTAAAAATCTTCCCACTTTCTTGTGTAGTACCTGGCATCTCTTCCTCCAGTGTTCTGCCACAATTGAGCCATACCTTGGATCCATCTCCCCATGGAGACACTGTGTTTCCTTGGATTGTAGATTATTTCTTTGCCCTGTAATCTCATCATGGTTTTAAAGTTTGTTTAGCTTTTTCTTATATTTACAGAGAAGATTTTTTGTAGAAGACTTTTTTTTTTTTAAACTTTGAGAGGTAGAGAGAGAGAAAGTCCTGATCTACCAATTCACTCCCAAAATGCCTGCTACAGCAGTGGGTGGGTCAGGCAAAAGATGGGATCTGGGAACTCCATTCAGGTCTCCTATGTGGATGGCAGCAACTCAACTAGTCCTGATCTACCAATTCACTCCCAAAATGCCTGCTACAGCAGTGGGTGGGTCAGGCAAAAGATGGGATCTGGGAACTCCATTCAGGTCTCCTATGTGGATGGCAGCAACTCAACTACTTTGAGCCATCACCTGCTGCATTCCAGAGTCTGCATTAGTTGTAAGTTCTGGGATTCAAGCCCAGGTAACTCTGATATGGGATGCAAGTGTGCTAACCATTAGACCAAATGCTTGCCCCCATGGCAACACACTTTCCTGGCCTTCTAACATCCTAGATAGGAATGGAATATCCTGATGGAGTGGTGGATTCACCATCCAGGGATCCCATATATCACTGTATCAGAGCAGGAGAACCACTTTACACCACTGGAAATAAGTAGTTCTGTGCATCAGATCCACCTTAGCATTCAGAAGCTGTCAGTCTGAAAGAATGTTGGATGGCCTGCTAAAGTTGCCACTAAAGCTCAGATGCAGTACACTGTGAAGTTGGACACGATTCCCCAAGATGAAACACCTGCACTAAATTACAGACTTTTATATGATGTGATATCCCTAACAGGAAAAACACATAGGTCTGAGAACTAAGGAGTGGAAACATTTTTTTTTAAACTGTAGAATGGGAGCAACATTTTTTCCAGTCTTCAACTCTAGAGATAGGCACCCTTTGGCTTTGGAGCTCCATGTGAGAGGCTAGATGATACTGTTTCAGATCTGCATCATGGTACGACATCTCTCCTTACCCAATTTTTGTTCAGAACTCTCCAATATACTTTTGCAGTCCAAACTCTCTCAGCCTGCCTTCTGGAGACCTCAACTACACACGGCCCATTCTGAGAATCTAATTAAAATTACAGTTCATGCGCCCAGAATAAGCCAATTGTGCCTGGAAGTCCAAAGTTATGATTACAGAGTCAAGGTATTTATGACTTCCCTAAGGCCCATGGAGCCCACCTGATGAGCCCTGGGATGTGGCTCTCCACCTCACTTTATGTGGCATGTGCTATAGGTGCCTCCAAAAACATACAGCTCTAATGAGGAAAATGGTTGCAAGGCAGGCAGGATGACTCTTAGTGGCAGTGGAGTGTTGCATGTATTCTCTTCCATTATTCTTCATTGAATTTCAGTAGTGAACCTTCATAAGGAGAAATGAACAAATTCTAGAACATTTTGGTCTCTGGGGAGATTTCTGTATTTGGCTCCAGACAAGTAGGAGAGAATCCATTGAAATCTAGAGAAGTTGGCATCTTAAATTAAATGATAAGGGGAAAGGGTATCAACAGTGTTCAGGCTTCTTCTTAGATTGTCCACTTCAACCAGAGTGAGGAAGGGAGCAAGGAGCCCAGAAAACTATCATCTTCATTAACAAAGAGCATGCAGTCATTGAGAGTTGATCTTGTATTTGAGCTCTCGACAGGCCAGGGGAGGGAAAGGCAGATGGATGGAGGATATTGTAGCAGGAAAAACGCACTGCAAAATCCTAAGGATTAAACAAATATGTTAAAGCAGTATTTCATGATTGGTTTCTATCTCATGTTCTTTCATAAAGAATGACAGCAGGCATGAGATAAAATGTGTTTCTGAGTGATTGCATAAATATGTTATAACTTGGAAGAAGGAGGCTGAGGGTGAGAATGGTTGAAAAAATTATGAAATTGTGTTTGGGACCTACAAGAGTAGCAGGAAGGAGAAAGTAATTTTGTACATATACAACGTATTCTTGGGGGGCAGTGATTTTAAGTTTTATACAATAAAGATATAGAATCTTTGGGAAGCAGCTCAATGATTTTCAGGACGAGTGGGACTTTGTAGACAAGTTAATATTACAGCAGCAGTGTATGCTCATGCTAACAATTCAAATAATATACAAATATAAGTGAAAACTTTGAAGTTCCTTTCCAGGATTCTATGTCCTTTCACCCTAACTCCACTTCCCAGGAAACAATTACTACTACTAGGGATATGCCTTTTGGAGTTTCAGCATGCAGTTCATTCTGAGGACCAGCTAGATGCAGGGATCCTTTAGAAGGGAGGTCCACTGAGGGTGTCCAGTAGCCCTCTTCCCATCCATGGGCTCCTCAGCCACTTGCCCTTCCTCAAGGTTGACCCTGGGAGCAGGTGTATCTTTCAGTGCCCTAACTGGTACCTTTGGATGAGGACAACAACTGTCAGAGTGGGAAGTTTGAAGGCATACCACTGGCTTTCTTTTGTTGGTAATTGCATTGCAATAACCTTGAGTTTTGAAGACGTGATTGCCTGATGGGTTTATCTCTTGGAAGCCCAGACATGGAGAAAATCTGAGGAATATCTGAGCTCTGCCATTCCCTGCCCACCCTTTTGCTGTGCTCTTGCTTTTGTTGGCAGACCCACAGCCAGCCACATCTCTGCCAACATTCACCGCCTTGTTTTGACTTGGTACAGAGATACTCATTCTGTGCTATGCCAGACCACTAAGATTTGTCTACTGTGGCTTTTAGTGATTGATGTCACTTGATCCACTGTGGAAAAATCCCAGGAGCCTCACAGATCAAGGGCCTTGAAAGAAATCATGTGGGAGGCTTCTGACAAATTGTGAAAAGGGGAAAAAATATTATTCCCAGCAGGCGACCAGTCCTCAGGGCTGTGAACTCAGGCCACTGCAATCCATCTTTGTGGGAACATTCGGGAATGTGTCATGCACAAACATGAACAGGACTGGCTAAGCTTCAGAGACCGAGTAAGATTCTCCAAGGCTGCCTCTATGTACCTTCCTGTCATCTTGATGGGCTGGCTTTTTGCCAGTTAAGATCTACATTTTCCCATAGTCTAACCTACACTTGACACTTTGTAGATGCTTTGCCAATATTTTTGGAAGGAAAACTTTTCAACAAATATTCTTTTTGGCTTTTATTTGTTCTGGGTGATGTAGGAAATAAAGTGAACAAAAATTACTTGTTTTGATGATCCCCAATATATGACCTTGTATGTCAAAACACATCTTGTTGTTCCTGGTAAAGTTTATGATCTGTGCATTTTTATCACTTAATTAATCTTTGAAGTCACAAAGGAAGCCCTGCAACAAAGGTACATCCATTTCTAAATTCCGGCAGTACCACGATTGAGAAACCATGCCCTGAAACTGCAAATATCAATCCATTGACACCATACCTTTCTCATTATGCACCTGCTTCTGTTCTCATTTCCTTAGATCAAATGACCTGCCATTATGATTCCCAAAGTAATTCTCTTCCTTCTCTCCTTTCACTCACCTGCTAACATCCCAATCCCAACAGTGATCTCATTTCTTTTTGGGGTGTGTGTGTGTGTGTGTGATCGAGTCTTTTTCCCCTCTCTTAGTAAAATTTTTATTAATATAAAGAGAACAGATTTCATGTATTTCATACATACAATTCTATAAAGGTAACCACACTTCCTTTTCTGTGCTTGAATGGAATTACTCAACAGTACTGGAGAAACAGTCCACACTGACTGGCTTCACAATAAATTGTAAACATGAAATGAGAGCTTGGTTCTGCCTAGAAATCCTACTATGCATCTGTATAGACTTTCCATCATGTAGGTTGGCTATGGTACTGGCTGATCCTTTTGTTTCTCCTTTGCTGATTTGTACCATTCTTTTTGTCTTCTAAACAGAGATTTCCAGGGCTGCCTCTCATCTCCTTCTCGTCTTTCCCTATTTAGTCTACACTTTCACTCTCTATTCATTTCCATGACTTTGGAGATCATATATATCATTATGATTTCAAAATGTCTGTCTCTAAAACTCCCCTAAGGGGTCTAAGTCTGCTAAATTCCCTGTTGGCTTATTCAGTTGGTACTTACAGGAATCTCAAACTAAAATATCTCAAGTGGACTTCTATTCTTTCTTCCCCACCCCATATAAGTCTTCTCTTCTGGTATTTTGCATTTTAGTATATCAACACTATTACCATCCACAAAGTTACTAAAACCCCAAACCTGGGAATTCATTCTCAATTTCTGCATTTTAACTCATTCTGCATCCAGCAGAAAACATAAATCACAACATATCACTTCCCTGCTTAAAACTTGCCAGTAGTTTCACACCACACTTTGAGTTTTGGCACCATCTTTCTCTTACCTCTCCCTCACACTGTATCTGCCACCATTCTTCCTTTCCTCATGATACTCCAGTAATGCTGGTGTCCTTTGTCAGTTCTTAGAATGTGTCAAACTGTTTGTACTTCAAGATATTTTTATTTGATTTTCCTTTTGCTTGGGTTAATCTTTCTGTCTCTTCTCATAGCCAAAATTTCTCATCTTTCAAAAGTCAGTTTGAATGTCATCTCCTGAAAGATGCCTTACTGTCTACATCATCTGATGCATGTCTCCTGTGCTATTCTCTGTCTTGACTTTTTCCCTCCTGTCATAACTGATCATTTTATTTACTTGTTTGTTTTCAGTTCTTGCTGTCAGAATATGAGCTGCATGGAGACAGATGCTGATCAGTTTCATTTACTATGGTGTCCTCAAAATAGGCACATAATGGGTATGTACTCAACAGGTATTTGTTGAGTGAAATAACAGGGTGGAAAAAAACACTTTCTGTGGATCACACACCATGAGTCTTGGCACAAGGTATACCCTTGGCCTTTCCATTCTTTCTTCACTTAGCTCATGACAGCATTCTCTAGAGAAACAAAGCCAATCAGCTACATATATAGATATGTAGATATAGATTATATCTATATAGGTGTAGAAAGATTATATATATATGTATATACACCTATATAAATATAGAAAGGAAGATTTACTATTGGAATTAGCTAACACAGTTATGGAGGCTGAGAGGTCCCAAGATCTGTTATCTACAACCAAGGAACCTAGAAAGCCAGTGGTGAAAGACTCTAACTCTTCTAAGGAAGAGCTCTAACATCCATGAGCAGAACATGATGGATGCCTCAGCCCAAGGAGAGAGAGAGGATTCTCTCTTCCTCTGCTTTTTATTTCTGTCAAGGGCTTCAGTGGATTGGATGATGCTACCACATCAGTGAGCATGATCTTCTTTGTCAGTACAGGCTACAGAATCGAATGCTGATTTCTTCCAGGAACATCCTCCTGACACACCCAGAGATAGTGTTTTACCACCCATCTGGGGATCCCTTGTCCCAAATCGAGCTGGCACACAAAATTCACTATCAGAGCTCATAATCAATAAAATTTGACACAAACATCAATTTCTTCTTGCCCACTGCAGTCTGACTAAGCAACTTCTACAGCTCTGAAGCTCACCTTTATTTCAGAGCAATTTTCATATTTTATTGTAACTATGGTTTGGTGGCCTCTCGTTTGCCTGTCTTGAAGGCAGTACTGCACATTTTGTTTACTGAAACAATTAACACCTAGCACTCTGGAGCAACAAATATTTTCAGAATTAATGAATGATTCAGTAAGTTAGTCACGCTTATACCTTTCAGTAATATTCTTAGGTAATTAGGATCTTTAGTGTTCAAGCATAAACTTTAATTGTAATAAAGTGGAAGAACTAAGGAAATTTCCTGAATGACTCCATGGAATAATAATTTGTGCATATGAAAGATCTCATGGAATACCAGAAAGCTAACTGAATTTTTCTTGTAGAAGTGGTTCATCTGTGCTTAAGAGATCGGTTTAAGTGCTAGCAGAACTCTCTCATTCCAAAAACAAGGGATCTCTAAGTCCAACAAGATGAATTCTAAATTATTCTTGTATACTTCCAAAATAAGGGTATTGTTGCCCTCATACCTGTATTAAGAGATAAGCAACATTTGAAGTGACATGTAGTGATGATATTATAGGAGATGGCTGGAATAGAGCTTTCTTATCTTTTGGCAAGAAAGAACTCAGTTGTCAGACAGAGAGTAGTGGTAAGCAAGGTAGCAAGACTTAATGTGGCACGACATCCTCAGGATGGATCTGTAATTCAAACTGGGGTAAGCAAAGTTCGATAGAGAGAATATACCTGACTGGCCAGGTGGGCATCTCAGCAAAGAACTGAGAGCTAAGAGTTAAGAATGCAGTCTGCATTCAGATTGGGGCTTATAAGATATGGAGTCCAGGTCTTCCTGCCATTTCTTCTAACTACTTAGTATACTACCGGATTTCAATAGCTATTGGAGATCCAGTAGAGAACTGTAGGTAGAGTTTTCACCTAATGTGCTTGGAAATCTTTTGATGAAAATGTTAAGCCAGAATATCCATGGTTCCAATCAATGCATTGATTATTCTAAAGGACTACATAACCAAGTGCCATCGCCTGCTCACTGTTCTGGCTAATGACATGACCTGTGCACCTTCAGGTCCTTGAGGAAGGGAGCCTGTTCTCACCCAGTCTCAGAGACAGTGCTGCCACAGAACACAGTGGTGCACAGGGTCTTTATCTTCTGGCCCTGAGTGCAGATAAACCTCATTAACAACCATTGTGTGTGGAGCAGGAGCTGAGAATGCCCCAATGATATCAATCCTCCAATTCAGAATCTTTAT